ACTCCAATCCACCACTCCCTCCCAACCTGAGCACAATCATAAATATCCCCAACCATTCAGGAAGTTGTCTTATCAAGAAGCCCTGAAGCATCATCTGCCTAGGTACCTACCACATCAGCACTGAAAAAACATGAAAGCACCCAAATGCTCTAGGAGCATCACTTTTTGCATCATTCCTGAGTGTAAAATCTTCCCTAGGACACAGAGAAATACAAGTTCATAAAATAATAGACAGAATAAGTTTTCTGCTTCTTCTTTCATACAATTTTTGAATCAAAACCTTCTGCCATATTAGAAATTCGAATAAAACAAACCTAAACATTTTCAAAAGGTTTTCTAGTTTGATACAATAAGGGCGAATAATATGTATAAGAATTTGTCATATTTAAAATCAATATAATTAGTAAAATGTATTTTAAGCACAGATAAAAATTAGTATACATTTTTTCATCTCTATCAACCAAAAAGAGCCCTCACTAGACATAATTATACTTTCCCCCACAATGTGTTATGTTGAACATTAACCCAGAAAATATCTTTAAAAGTGCTCTGCAGGTATCACCTTACCTCAAGGAACACAATGTAAGAAAAGACTATTTGAATCTAAAGAACTAGTTTCAAGCAAAAATTATTAGAGAAATTCTGTATATCGCCGATGTTAGAAGTTTGGGGGAAGATAAGAGAGTACACATTTCAATAATTTAAAATCATACGCATATTTCATTTTCCATGCAAGATGATTTAAAATATGAACACAATGTAATTGTAACTTACTGAAAATACAGTCAAGTCTTTGCCCCTAGACTTTACAGTCATACTCAATGAAAAAAACAAAAAAAGAAATAGAAACAATGTATGAAAACCATAAAAGGGTGCTTCAAAAACTCTGGTTTCTAAGTAGAATCTAAACAGAAGGAGGATTTTGGTGTCCACACTCAATATGGCTTAAGATCTAAATGATATGTATGACTCAAAACTGCTAACCACTGAATATGAGAATTAAGAGGCTACTCTTAGAAAAGCAACCAACTTTTACTAAGGTTTTACAACATATGTGTATTAAACAATTTTTAAAAACTGAAATAGAGTTGTTTTCTAGTTCCCACATTAACTAACATCAGGGTCACAAAATACTTGCATTAGAAAAGAGAAAAAATGGGTTCACTCATGTTTCCTTAAACTGGTTTGTTGAAGGTTATGATGGGTCTTTTTAATTTCAAGGCTTTTTACTCAAATAAAGCACAAATTGAGAATCAGAAACTCTCAGGGCTGTGTCATCAGTAAGCCAAGCACACACCCACAATTATTAGAGGACTTACAAATCAACACGAATCACTGTTAGGCACTTGAGTACAGACTATGGGCTTTTTCTACCAAAAAACTACCTCGCAGGCAAGACCATAAAGATTGAAGTTTTAGCTTTTAGAACATACAGGGCTAGACAATTGATAAGAAATACTGCATAATTAACCCATCTGTATCCTGGTACAATTTCTTTACAATCCCACACACAATTTTAGGGTTTAATAGAAGCGGTTACTTTTTAGCATCCGAAGTTTTAAAATGGTCTTTCTTTACTTCACTGTGAGGATCTTAAAATTATCACAAATCCTTTGAGGGAGCATGATACTGAAGTTTTATTTTTGTATAAGTGGAACTTGAAAAAAGTGTTTTCTATATTATGTTTGGATCTACACAGAGTCAGCACATGACAGTTGATGATTTTTATATCTTTTAAAGCCCTTTTCAACAGGTTTATTTTGTAAAGATAAATTTCTCATTACTAATTCCTTTAGGCAACTAATGTTTATCTTTTTTAAGTAAACACAAGGAAAAAAACGGAATGTGGCCTGTGGTTTTATGGATGCAAAGATGTCTTCAGGTTAAACACTATCCATAAATTTGGCTTGACATATTTTCCCAACTGAAACTATTTGTACTGGTACTCTCCAAATTGGAGCCCATTTTTGGTAATGGGAAGACAATATTCATATCATATAATCCTTTCTATATCTAACTTTTTAGGTCAAGGAGCTGGCAGAGTCAGAAAGATAGTTCTCTTATCTTTCTGAATCTACTTTTCAGCATGTGAAGCTAAAATTAAGAAGCATTAAAATGTTAAATACGGTATAATTTTAAAAACTCTACTATGGCATTTGTATGCTGAATACACAGCAAGCCAGTATTGCTCTGACAATACTGACAAGTCTGACAACACTCTAACGAGCAAAGAAAAATCTATGAATCAAGCCACTTGTGAGAGGATAGCAAAGAACTAGAGAACCCACTTAGACACTAGTGGTTTGGGGAACAATGGATACCGGAAAGTGTAGAATACCTCCAGGACAGATAACATATCTTCATTGTTGGTGAATCAAGATACAGGAGAGCAAGGGATGGCTGAGTTGTGGGAAAGCTGATCCTGAAGCAAGAAGTTCCAGATTATATTTAGACAGTGGGAGGGATCAAAGTTAAGTCATGCAAAGAAACCTGTCTCTACCCAGCTGTGAAAGATGGATCGATGCCAAAATACAACTGGGCAACTGAGAGACAATGACCCCAAAGACCATAGATAATCTGGGATGTGCTGCTGTCCCCTATATACAAAGCAGAACGCACTACAGATATATTTCCAAAAATGCCTGCAGAGAAAACTAGAAAATTGTCTACAGTTTTTCTATTTACACTAATATAAACAGATTTCGAGGTTGTCTGTACTGTATTTGGTTGCTGTAGTCACAGCAATAAATGTAAAGTGCCTGTAACAGAGGGTATAATAGAATCCCACCTCTAGGCATCTTAATACTATACACTCAGACAAAAAGTGGAAAGAATATCTCAGGGACTTCCTGACTCTCCTCTACGATATCACTGTACCTACCTACGAGGCACTTTTTAAAGACCAGAAACTCTTCTATTGCGTGCTACACTTCTAAAAATCACTTTACCTGCATTAAAAATGCCAGTCAACAGTGCTGCTAAAGCTGACTGGCATTTTTTATTCTTAAGGCAAAATGTCATGTTCCCTACCAACATCCCCCTGGTCCCCAAATTACGTGCCTTCGTTGTATTCTTTGCCCATTGTGAGAGCCAAAGAAGATAGCACTGAAAATTTCAAACAACTCAATAAACCGTGTAAGATATATTTTATAAATGCTAGTATGGCAAAATTTAACTTATTTAAATGTCTATACCATATGGCTACTGTACCAAGATATCAAGAGAAGTCATATGACTTTCAAAATTAGTAGCAAACATGGGATATTTAAATCCAGCCACATGTACTGAGGTATGAAGCTTTGTTCTTTTCAAAGTTGAGCACAAAATAAAATGTTTGTTTATAGCCAAGAGTAGCGTATTAAAACCAAAAGCATTGCCCTTTGCTTAAGTCCACTTAAACTACATATAAACTGCCAATATGCTCTCCATCTTAGAATTAACACTGTTAAAATGATTTTGATGCATTTTCATACATGAATTAATTTTGGTTTTATGCACAAGTATATAGGTAACACATTTCCAATGCTTAGTCTAGAATAGTATAACATAACAAAAAATCATGTTTTGCAAATGTGGTATAAGATTTTATGCATTCTCATGATGCCATGTCAATGATCTATTACACTAAACCATCTGCAAGAATGTAGTGTACGCTTTAAACACCCCATTAGAATAAATTTTAGCCAACACCCTGATGACAAGGGAATGTGCTGGTATATTGTTGAACTGATGTGGCTGCAATCCAAGAGAGTGAACGTGGTTTTTCACATTAAAAAATAAAAAGGATAGCCCTAGCTCAGTGGATGGAGCATCAGCCAGCAGACTGAAGGGTCCAGGGTTTGGTTCCGATCAAGGGCAGGTACTTGGTTGTAGGTTCCTCCTCAGCCCAGGCCCTGGTCAGGGCCCAGGCAGGAGGCAACCAATCAATGTGTTTCTCTTACACTGATGGTTCTCTCTGTCTTTTCCTCTCCTACCCTCCCTAAAAATCAATGGAAAAATATCCTTGGGGGAGAATTAACAAAAAACAAACAAAAAAATAAATAAAAAGGATAAAAGGTGTGGATTTGTTGGGCTACTGTATAGAATATTTTTCTCTGATGAAACTGCAATACCTACAATATATATTTGGGTTTTAAAGGAGTTTTTAATATATAACAAGTAATTCCTTATAGTTATTTGAAAAAAGTATGAGAACATATGAACAAATAAAGCTTAGTAATTTAGAATTTACTTTTGTAAAAGTTGACAAATAATAAAATATTATACTTGCATTTTGAACATTATAATATAAATATAAAACACAAAACATCCAACATTAAACACTGATCATCTCCTATGCCCAAGTTGAACTTAGATAGTGAGCATTTTAATTTTGTAGAAAGGAACTTTTAAAGTTTTGTCAATGCTTACAGTATATACTTTTATCCCTCATCAAAATCTTCACAAAATCTAAAAGGCTGGTATTAAAAGGAATTATTTTTTTCTTGAATATTCTAAAACATGCCAGCTTGGATTACTGTTCAGATTTTCAGGGACTGTGTATTCAAGAATATATCTGAACACATTTAGTTAGGTAAGTGTTTACAGTTACAACAGAAATACTTGTGACTATTCAGATATTGAAAAAAAAAAAAACAAAAACCTACACAAACATAGAAGGTGTTTTGGGACAAGTTATTTCTTAGAAAAAATAATGCAGTATGTTGATCAATTTTTAAAACAAATTCTTAAAAGCACTAAAAAAATTTGTATTTTATATTTGCCAAACAAACATTCACATGTTATAAGAAGATAAAAGAAAACATAGAAATAAAAAATCTCAAACTATTTCAAAAGTTAAGAATTAAAAATGTTCAAATTAATAATTTATCTTTGTTGCTTAGAAAATATGCTTTACTTTTCATTTCAAATTCACTTTAAATGCTTGACAAATACTTTAATACTTAAGAAGAATCTAGCTAAATTATTTGATAATATTTATAAGGTGACACTTCTCTGGATAGACATTTCACACAACAGTTTTCCATTAATGCTGAAAATCAGTTGGTAATTTTAATCACAGTTAATAATTGATTAATGGATTAACAGTTTACTCAGTAATTTAGATGGCATACGGTCTCATAAAGGGAACAATCAGATAACTGCTCAATGTGCAATTGTGCCCATTAGTAATTCTAAGAACTTGATAGATATTCCACTTATTGGATTACATTTGAACAACAACAAAACATAGGTATCCAATGTCAAACTTTTTTTCTTTCTTTTTTTAAAGAGCAGCTCAATGATTTGGGGGGTTGATTAGTCCAATGCAGAGAGCATAGGGGAAAAGTACAAATTGGCACTTAAACCAATGCCAGTATTCATTTCATTATTGTTATAATTAAGAATATTATTAATTTTTGTTATTCACTTTTCTTTAGAACATAAATCAAAGCCATTAACTTGAAGTTGAGGTAAACACACAATACATACACAAATGCAAAATACTTTTCATAAGTAACATTACATTTTAAAATACCAGAAACTGAATATCTGTGCTGATTTATATTTTGACTTAATGGAACAAAAAGAGAACATTCAACAAAAGAGGGTTATACTGATAATAAAGCTCTTAAAGTTTTAAAAAATGTCTTCCTCTCCTTTTGTACTTACCACAGGCTACACAATGTCTTGAGAGGACTCTTTAGGAGAAAAATGTCAATCACAGCTTTAAGACCTGGCTTTGGAAGAAACTAATGAGAAAGCAATTGGAAGGTGAGGCTTCATCTTCGTTTTCAAATAAGTGGTCTTAATTTTTCTTCTTATAGAAAAAGTTTAAATCAGTTTACTATAAATATATCCGAACCATTAATTTTTGGAGCTTTCAGGTAAAGTCTAGCACTTCGTTTATATAAAGTCTATGAGAAGAAGTCAGTAGAGATCATCTAAGTTTAAGTCGTGACATCATCCATTCCAGTCCTTGGCATAATCTATACAGAAAATAAAATAATCTGATAAATTCTCAACTAAGAAGCTATAAATAGCAAACTAAAACAAGGTGTCATTTTTTCATTTACCTAAACAACCAAGGTTAAAAAATCAATACTGTCCCATGTCAGTGCTGTCGTGGTGAAGCCATACTCTCAAGACACAGTACATCCGTGCTTTCTCATTTGTTTTGTTTCTAGTGCCTAGAACACTGCCTGACATACAAAAGCTCAGTGATTATATAAATGCCCATGGAAAGTAATTTAGCTATATTCAAGAGTATTTAAAATATCAATACCCTCTCTATCCTCTTTTCTATTTATAGAAATACATCCTAAAAAAATAAAACATAAAGACAGATTTATGTATAAGACTGTTTATCAAAACATTTTTAATAGGAAAAAGAATTTAAATGTCTAGAAATAGAGAAAAATTTAACAAATTATGGACCATTCATATGATGAAATATTAAAAACTTCCTTTCAAAAACTACAATATGACAAAATGCTCATTATTTAAATGAAGTAAAACTGCAGGATATTAAACATATAGTAGAGCTGTTAAAACAGAGTACATACATAATATGTCTGCTACATCTATATATTTACATTTTTTTGAAGGAAGTAAAATCTCTTATCACTAATACCAGTTATCACTGAATAAAGGGTAACTTAGCATAATCCAAAATACTATAAAGAGATGTTCATTGTGGTAAAGAAAATGTTTAGCAAGAGAAAAATGATTGTACATATGTTACAACAAAATAAACTGTTACAAAGCATTAACCATTGTCTATCAGGAGCTTTTACAGACATGAGAAACTGAAAACTCAGGTTTTTGTGTAAGTATGAGTCTAACAATATAAAAGAAGATAGGAATAGAAAAAAAAAGGCAATGAGGTAAATGATTGCTTCAGTGGCCCAGACTGTGCTAAGCACTTAATATCCATTATCTTATTATTTCTTTACAACAGTGAGATCAGAACCCTTCCCATATTAGAGAAAACCTGGGCTTGGAGAGGTTAGCAAATGGCAGAGATAAGAGTCAAGTCTGACCAACACTAAAACCGAAAATTCAGACCAAGGCAGCCAGACAATAGGGAAACATCTCCTCCAAAACCTAACACTTCCACTTGCTGACTGCTGCAAATGGAGGCCCTCATACACCAAGAATTGAAAAGATACCACCAACTACCTAGTTCCTCTTTCAGAAATGAATCTGCCAGAGTTCATATCCATTCTAACCAACGATATATTTTCTACACGATTATTCAAAGTATGTAAGGTAAGTATTATATAATTCCTAGACGATTTGTCTTTGTGGTCAAATTTAGTATTACATTCCTAACCAACGATATATTTTCTACACAATTATTCAAAGTATATAAGGTAAGTATATAATTCCTAGATGATTTGTCTTTGTGGTCAAATTTAGTATTACATTAGTGCTTTTGCTTAAAGTCCTTCCATAGAAAAAGATATATTTACAGGTATCTCGACATGTATTAAACTATCTGACAGAAACATGTTACATTTTTACTTAAATGAGTATGTGGAGAGTTGGTATTATCTATGAATTTTTCTTTAAATGAACAGATTTGCTTTTTTGAGGTTCTAATTAAGCTCTCTAAATGTCTGTAATTAGATAACAGTGCCTTCTATTTCACTAAGATTCAACTTCATCTCCAATTTAATTATTTTTCTTTGTTTTTAAAAGGTACATACATAACAGATTCTAAAGAGAAATCTTAATTTGGGGTTGAGGTCTTCTTCTGGTATTAGGAAAGGGCAGAAGCTTGGGGCATAAATAGATGAATTAGCTGAAGTGGGAGAAATTCCCTTCCTTTCAAAACCATGATGATAGTTAAAGCCATATAATGACTTATTGAAACTATCTGTGCCCCAAGCTTCTACCCTTTCCTAACAGCTGAAGAATCACAACTTGAAGAACCTAAATTTAAGACTCTAGAATCCTTCATCTCCAATTTAATTATTTTTTTTCTCTGCTTTTAAATATATATAGATCTACCACATTTTAGAAAAACAACTACAACAAAAGTATTATTTCGTTTGCTCAGCCTTTTAGCCTTTTAGCCTATTTCTAACCTCCTCTATTCCATCTCTCCTAACAGGACTCTCCATCTTTCTGGTCATTGATGTTATATTTAATGATGCTGACAACCACTTCATTTTTGAAATCCTCTCACTTCTGGGCATTAGACTAGGGCAAAATTCTACTACAGGCACCTGCCCTCCTTTCCAGAACCAGGAACCCTCGTGCCACACTCTCTCTAATTCTAACTTTTTTTTTTTAATTGCAACAACTCCCTCTTGACAACAGTGGTGGCAAAAGTGAATACATCCAAACTAGTCTAGTTCAACTTCTTTATGCATAAAGTGTGAATTTAAAACAACTGGTCTACATGACTGTTAGGAATAAATGATACATTGGAAGGAACACTCAAGACACAGAACAGGCTTAGAAGTGTTAGTTCTTTTCTTATAGCGTAAGTCCCACCACCAATAAGAACTGTTTCCCGACTTGTCCAGATCCCCTTGACATTCTAATGTATCTGAACTCCTACAGCAACTGTAACTATGTACACATATTAGTTCAGTATGTGTATGTGTATGCTGTGCTTTATTCTTTACAGAACCAAGTTAAAAACTCACTGTAGACATTGACTATGTCTTACATCTCTTCCTTAGAACAATCTGTACATGGTAACCTTAAAATTGGATTTTAGGAAGAAATTCATATTCCTAAACTAAAGACACGTTATCCATGGGGAAGACTTCTTACCCCTCGCCAGTAAGAGCACAGCATGCCTGGATATGCCACTGGTGATCTTTAATAGAAGTTAGTTTCAAAAACTGGGAGATTTCTGCTACAGTCATGCATTCTTTAACATCTTGTTTATTAGCAAAAATCAGCAATCCAGCTTTCCTTAGATCCTATAAAAGCAAATAAAACGATAAGGGCCAATGCATTTTTTTCAGAGATTTTCTAACTTAATAGAATTTTTTTTTGGTAATCTCTGTAACCTAGAATTTCTCAACTACTTGATATAAAAGCATTTCATAGCTCTTATACTGATGGAAGGTAAACTTAAAACTGAACACATTTTAAATAAATCTATCTATACTTGTATGGATTTATATATTTCTTATAGTCCTAGATTACATTTATGGTCCTAAGTGCTATATTTACCAAGCAGCCGTGTCTTCAAATATATAATTACCCATTTCCCCCAATCTCAAACTAGGCTTCTATGGCTACTAACAACTGTGTTTTACCATGATACTCATGAGCTTTTAAAAATTCTACCTCAACCTAGTACCTTCTAGGTACATAGGAAGTAAACTAATTCATTAGGTACAACGTATGCCTTGGACTGTAGGGTTGGGGAACGTCTGGCCCACAAAATCATTTGGTCTGGCCGTGCCAAGGCATTAGGGAGGGGTGAGTTATTTAAATGTTTGACCAAATACAGCAGGCTTTTTTAAAAAAGATCTTTTTATTGATTTTTAGAGGGAGAGAGAGAGAGAAACTGATGCGAGAGCAATTGGCCACCCCTGGGGTTCAAGCCTGCAACCCAGGCATGTGCCCTGACAGGGAATGGAACTGGCAACCTTTCTGTGCATGTGATGACACTCAACCACCCGAGCCACACTGGAGCAGGCTAATTTTTAAGTTGATAATTTTGTACGCCCTGCAAATGTTGTTATAAATATCCAATTGGCCCTTGGAAGAAAAAAGGTTCCCACCCCTGCCTTAGAGACTTAGGGCTTCATTCTCAGTTGAATGGTGCTATCCTAAACCACCCCTATCCTTTTCTGAGACCTAGCTCCTCTGTCTTTGTCCATGATGATTTCTTAGATTTGAATACTTGATATGGCCATCTTGGATTGGCATTAAACTTATAAACTAAGTTCTACCACTTCAATTTTTTGATTCTGAGGAAAGTTTTCTAACCTTTCTGAATTTGTTCCTCATTACCAACATTTATTGAGTATCTAACTTGAGCAAGCCACCCATCACACTAATCTTTTTCTAAATAAAAACTCTTTAATCCTCACAAGATTGCTATACGGTAGGCTTTACTAGTCCCATTTTACAGATGAGGACAGATGTAAGTAACTCAGACAAGGTCATATAGCTACTCAATGACAGGACCCAGTTTTAGCCTAGATCTTCCTATTGTAGCTACTGCCCCTCATCTGTAAAATGCTAAGACTACTACCTAACTCTTAGGGATGTGGTTTTAATTAACAAATAAAGTATTACATTTAAACTACTCAGTTCAGTACCTGGCTTTTGGTGACAGTTCAACAAATATTAGTTCATTTACTGCCTCCAAAATAATAATTACCTTACCCGTGTGCATGCCCCAAAGTGAGAG